TGATTTCTTCACAGATGCTGCCAGACCTGCTGAGCTTTTCCAGCAACTTCTGTTTTTGTACATAAAACAGTTGATGTTCCACTTTGATCTAGTGTAACAACAGGAAGAAATATCAAGTGTGAAGGCCAGGTGAACTGACAGGTATTACTTCCCACTGATACACACGTCTGAAATTAATGCTAATTTGATGACCTAGGCCAGCACTTCTCGAACGTCCAACAAAAAAAGCAAGTAGATTTCAGTATAGGATTAATTCTGGTCAATCCAGTGTTTCAGATTTTGAGACTCACCTGCCACATTGTAGGTGTCCTACAGCCACATCTGGAATTGAATTGTTCTTAAAACAAGTTATCAAACAAAGAAAGCCACTTGACTTACCAAAAACAACAAACAAGATCGAAAGAAAAAAAGGGGAAGTTGGTCCTTTGTGAGAAAGGTACATCTAAGATATACCTGAAAGCAATTAGTCTGTAGGTGAGCCAAGAGACGTGCTAAATTATTCATGCCACGCCATAATAAGACGATAATTAGAAAGAGGTTTTTGTCGAGGTTCATCCCGAGCAGCTCCGTGATGCAGGACTCTGTGCTCTACGGTCTGTTGCCCAGGACTGCACACCGAGACAAACATTGACTGCACCTCAAGCACCATCAACTCAGTGAAAGACACTCTTTGGTCTGCCTGAACCTTGTTATCCTCCAGAACAAGGAGTTGACCCAGCCTAAGTGTTCCAGATTGGCACATTGCAACGTTCAGGACTACATGCTGAGGGACGCACTAAAGCTTAGGTAGCTGCCACCAAGGTGCAGTGGAGACAGACCACTGTCAGAGGCCTTCCTGCCAAATTGAAATGGGGATCTGTTCAGTTTTCAGACCCTCCTGATGCCTCAAATTCATATAAATGTGATGTGGAGCTGGAGAAACACAGCAGGCCAGGCAGCATCAGAGGAGCAGGAAACTTGACGTTTTGGGTCAGGACTCTTCTCCAGAAATGGGGAAAGCAGCTGAGATAAATGAAGAAGGGTCCCAACCCAAAACGTCAGCTTTCCTGCTCCTCTGGTGCTGCCTGTCCTGCTGTGTTCCTCCAGCTCCACACTGCGTTATCTCTGACTCCAGCATCAGCACTTGCTATCTCTGCATATAAATGTAGTCCTGTTCTAAAAGATGCCTTTGGTTTGTTTGGATAGAGGTAAACTCCAATGTTGGTTGGTTTCTTTAATATATTATTGTACAGAATTGAACTGCACTTGTGACTATGTATATATGTGAAGATTTTTTATGCACGAAAGATATTTTTGAAATTAAAATAAAATTTAGCATGTAACATGTTATAACGGCTCCGTTTTTCCATAGATACAAGAGTAAAATTAGGCCATTTGGCCCTCTGAGTCTGCTCTGCCATTTGATCATGACTGACATGTCTCTCAGACCCATTCTCCTGCCTTCTGCTCATAATACTTTAACCCCTTACTAATCAAGGACCTACCTTCGTCTTAAATACACTCAATGACTTGGCAATTGGAAGTAATACCTTCTGCAGCAATGAGTTCCACAGATTCATCACCATCACACTGAAGAAATTCCTCCTCATCTCAGCTCTAAAAGGGCTCTCCCTTCACTCTGAGGCTGTGTCCTTGGGTCCTAGACTCTCCTACTAATGGAAACATCTCCTCCACATCCATTCTATCCAGGCTTCTCAGTATTCTGAGAGTTTCAATCAGATACCTCCCTCGTCTTTCTAAACTCCATGGAGTTCAGACCCAGAGTCCTCAACCGTCCCATATATGACAACCATTCCATCTCCAGGATCATTCTCGTATACTTCCTCTGGACTCCCTTCATGGCCAGCACGTCCTTCCTTAGATACAGGGCCCAAAACTGCTCACAATATTCCGAATGCTGCCTAACCATAGGCTTATACAAACTCAGCAGTACATCTCTGTTGTTGTTTTCTAAACTTCTCAAAATGAATGCTAACGTTGCATTTACCTTCCTAACTGCTAACTGAACCTGCATGTTAACCTTCAGAGAATCCTGAACTAGGACTCCCAAGTCCCTTTGTGCTTCAGATTTCTGAAGCTATTTCCCATTTAGAAAATAATCTATGCCTCTATTCTTCCTACCAAAGTGCATAATCTCACATTTTCCCACATTGAATACAATCTGCCACTTCTTTGCCCACTCTCCTCGTGGAAGTCATTCTGTAGCCTCCCTGTTTCCTCAACACCATCTGTCCCTCCACCTTTCTATCTTTGACAGACAGTGAGCAATGCCTCAGAGCTTCTGTTTAGAGATAGAGAGAGGTGAAGAAAGAGAAACAGAAACACAGAAAATGTGTGAAAAAGTCACGGAGACTTATATTTTCATTAGGCAATTGTTCATGGCCTCAGGACATCCCAAAGCCAATGAGGTGTTTTTATTTTTACTTGTCGCGTCTGTAATGTAGGAAATGTGTAATATGTAAGCTTCCAAAGACCCGATCAAACTCATTTTTAAAAATAAGACCCTATGTTGTAGGAGCAGACGTAGGCCATTTGGCCCATCAAGAGGGATGCTCTTTGGAGGGCTGGTGCAAACTCAATGGGCCAAACGGATTCTTTCTGTGGACATTCTATGATACTAAGACGGTGGTGAGCTGTTTTCCTAAACACCACAGTTGTGTGGTGTTTACCCAAAAACCACACATTGTAGGTTGACCCACAATGCCCTTAGGGAGGGAGTTCCAGGATTTTGACCCAGCAACGCTGAAGGAACGGCAATATATTTCCAAGTCAGGATGGTGAGTGCCTTGGAGGGGAAGCAGGGGGTGGTGCGCCCATGTATCTGATGGTAAAGGCCATGAGTTTGGTAAGGGGCTGCCAAAGGATCCTTGTTGAGTTACTGCAGTGCATTTTGTAGCTGGTTAACTGTGCATCGGGTGTTTGATAGATGCCAGTCAAGCGAACTTCTTTGTCCTGGGTGATGTTGAGCTTCTTGAATCTAATGGATATTGGGTGAATGTTGAGTCCAGTGTAAGACTTTCAGCGTGTGTTGAGCTCCGTTCTATTGTACAAGGGCCCTTGGCTAGCAGGGTGACCAATCTGCTTGTACACAAACTGTCAGACATTTTCCAGCCACTGCCCAACAGAAAACACAAGTGGACATCAGGTGAAAACATTATCAAGACAGCCAGCAATGACCTACATAGTTGAATAGCCAGCTGTTCACACCGAAGGAATAGATATTTGGAGGAGCATAGCTGGAGATGGCTTGAATAGCATTCAAGTGTAGCAGGTAATAGGGGAGGAAAATGGAATGTCAGCCTTTATTTCAAAGGTAACTGAGTGTTTAAAAAAATATGGCCAGAAACCTGCTCTCCAGGAAAGAAAGAGAAACAATAGAGAAATAGATACAGAGACCGTTGTCACATAACAAAATGAAATACCGCACTCAGCATCAGTGCCTCCAGAAAGCAATCCTTAAAACTCCACATACCACATTAAAAGGGAAAAACATTCTCACAACGTTAAGGAGATAGAGAGAAAATTCAGTCCCTTCCATCAGGGATTACAAACCGTGAACAAGTGAAGGATGAAAGAAGGTCCTGGTTGGGGACTGAGAAACTATGGTGGTGGAGGAGGTGGGGAATAAAAAAATGGGGGAAGCTCAGTGGCAGGTGGATGCAGGGGAGGTGGTAACACCCAGCTGCTGTCAGATACACCTTCGTCTGTCAGACAGGAGGTTGTAGAGTTCAGCACACCACAGCAAGAATACAACGGCATTGACCCTCCAACACAATACTGAAGAAGTCATGTTCTGCTGCAGACCCTATCTTTCAAATGGTAAAGTCACCATTGTTATAGAGTCAATCAGCACAGAAACAGACCCTTCAGCCCAACTCATCCATTCTAACCAGGTTTCCTAAACTAAACTAGTCGCACTTGCCTGCATCTGGCCCATATCCCCTCTAAACCTTTCCTGTCCATATGTCTTTTAAATGTTGAAGCTGTACCTGCATTTACAACTTCCTCTGGCAACTCATTCCATTACAAACCACCCTCTGTGTGGAAGCACAGGAACTGAACCCACACTGTTGGTGTTAACTCTGCATTGTAAACCAGCCATCCAGGCAACTGAGCCAACCGAGGGACCATTTACAATAGGGACAGGGGAAATCCTTCCAAGCTTCAATTAACATCACTAACACAAATTCTCTGCTCATCACATTGCTGTTTGTGGGAGCTTGCTGTGCGCACGTAGACTGCAATGACAACAGTGGCCGTGCTTCTAAAGGACTCCCTTGGTTGGAATGTGCTGAAAGGATGCTGCCCAAATGCAATTCTTCCGTTCTTTCTATTGCAGAACGGGCATTTGAAATATAAAACAATAGTGCCACATCTAATTGTGGCTATGTCTTCCTAATTCAGCCATCAGCTGAATACTTACCTTAATAAACATGGCATGCAGTCAGTGTAAAACAGCCTTGATCACCCCTTTATCTTGTTGCATTATTCTGTGAACACACAATAGAAGGTCCAGAAACTGGAACATTTACTGACCTTGGATGCAAGAGGAGTTAGATTAAAGATTGTATCCTCGCCTTGTTTTGGTTGCTCGTCTGGAACCTAGAGGTTTTAGATTGAGCATCCCTTTCGATCAGGAACCTGGCCTGACTGGGGTGGGGGGAGGTGGAATGATATTTGCTGAACAGCCTGGTCCAAAAATACAAGGAAGCCTGGGGTTTGTGTCTCCATAGAGGTGACACAAAAGAAAACAGCTGATCCATCTATTCCCATGGAAACAAGTAATAGATAGGAGCTTTAAAGTGACGGCTTAAGGGCAACTGGAGGATTTTATTCTGCCAAATGGCAGCATGAATTCTCCTTAAAGGGGAAGTACAGTATTGTAAACGCCAGATTCTCCTCATCAATTCCAAGCCTCACTCGATCGGCTTTTTATTCTTTGAAACTGGTGACAGAGGAGTTTCCAAGAATAGCTTCTTTACAAGAATTTTAAAGATTTTGCAGAAATGCAAGACACTACTGTAATATTCTTTTATCTGTTTGTTTCCAGGAAGTGCTATGTCATTGTCCCAAACTTAACTTTCTGTTACTGACACTTCACTTCATTGCCTGCAATTCGAATGGATAATCCAGCTCAGAAAGAGGCCATTCAGCCCACCTGCGCTAGCTGCTATCCAAACATTCCCAGTTTTTTTTTGCTCATAGCTCTATAATTACCCCCAGCTCTCATAGAATCCTTACACTGGGGAAGCAGGACATTCGGCCCATCGAGTCCACACTCCTAACAGCATCCCAACTACCACCTCCCCCTACCTCATCCCAGTAACCCACCATGTCCCATGGCCAATCTACCTACACATCCCTGGGGCAATTTAGCACGGCCAATCCACCTAACCTGCAGATAGAGCTGTACAACATGGAAACAGAACTTTCATTTCAACTCGTCCATGCTAACCAGATATCCTAAATTAATCTAGTCCCATTTACCAACATTTGGCCCAAATCCCTCCAAACCATTCCTCCTCATGTATCTTTATTAATGTAAAAGACGCCTTTTAAATGTTGTAATTGTACCAGCCTCCAGCACTTCCTCTGGCAGCTCATTCCATACACGCACCATTCTCTGTGTGAAAATGTTACCCCTCACCTCCCTTTTAATACTTTCCCCCTCACCTTAAACCTATGCCCTTCAGGTTTGGGCTCTTTGTGAGGAAACTGGAGTATCCATAAGGAACCCACGCAGACACGGGGAGAATGTGCAAACTCCACACAGACAGTCGCCCGAGGGTGGAACCAAACCCAGGCCCCTGGCGCTGTGAGGCAGCAGTGCTAACCACTGAGCAACCATGCCATCCCTTGCTTCTTAATTTCCTTGAATGTCATTACTTTTCAGTCTGCTTCCACTGAGCTTTTCAAACTGCACACTCCGGATTGTAACAACTCACTGTGGTAGAAAATAGATATCCCCCTCACCCCCCTGCTGTGCCTTTTATATTCTCCAACCTACGCAGAAATGATGCTTTAAAATGTCTGCTCTATGCTTGTGCTCCTGTTCTTTTTGTCAGTCTTTTCTCAAGGCACTGCCCTTCCTGTTCATCCAAATCATGCAATCTTTTACTGAGAAGGAAAACACAGATTTAATGGAACGTTCCCTCAATCTGTTTGTCTTTTCCCCTGAAACAGACAAAAACAGAAATAGCTTGAGATACTCAGCAGGGCAGGCAGCATCTGTGGAGAAAGAAACAGAGTTAACATTTCCTGTCTAGTGACCCTGCTTTCTCTCCATAGATGCTGCCAGGCCTGCTGAGTTTCTCCAGCAATTTGGGCCTTGTACTATCATTAGATTGGGCCCACATTGAGAGGCAACATACTCCAGCGGTTTGTACTGCCACTGGAGGGGGTGCAGAGGAGGTTCATTAGGTTGATTCTGGAGTTGAGTAGACTAGCACTATACTGATTGGAATTTTGAAGAGTTAGGGGATCTGTATGGAACCATATAAAATTATGAAGGGAATAGATAAGATAGAAGCAGGGAGGTTGTTTCCATTGGCAGGTGAAACTAGAACGAGGGGGCACAGCCTCAAAATAAGGGGGAGCAGTTTTAGGACTGAGTTCAGGAGGAACTTTATCACCCAAAAGGTTGTGAATCTGTGGAATTCCCTGCCCAATGAAGCAGTTGAGGCTTCCTCATTGTACGTTTTTAAGGCAAAGATAGATACATTTTTGAACAATAAAGGAATTAAGGGTAATGGTGGGTAGACGGGTAAGTGGAGCTGAGTCCATGAAAAGATTAACCATGATCTTGTTGAATGGTGGAGTAGGCTCGAGGGGCCAGATGGCCCACTCCTGCTCCTGGTTCTTATGTTCTTTTGTCCATTGGAGAGGGTCCAGAGGAGGTTTATGAGAATGAACCCCACGATCAAGGGCTTGTCATATGAGGAGCAGTTGAGGACTCTGGGTCTGTACTCAATGGAGTTTAGATCCAATTGAAACTTAAAGAGTATTGAGAGGCCTGTATAGAATGAACATGGAGAAGACATTTCCACTGGTAGGACGGACTAGGACCCAAGGGCACAGCCTCAGAGTGAAGGGACAACCCTTTATATCTGAGATGAGAAGGATTTTTGTCAGAGAATGGTGAATCTGGGGAACTTATTGTGCAGAGGGCTGCGGAGGCCAGCTCATTAACTGTCTTTAAGAAATAAGACAGATGGGTTCCTGATTGGTAAGGGGATTAAGGGAGAAGACAGGAAAATGGGATTGAGAAACTTATCAGCCATGATATGGAGCAGACTCAACGGGCCGAATGACAGTCAAACTTTTTGGCGAAGTTACAAACACTCCTACACGGCCAACAAGTCCTGCCAAGAGACTTGAACTCAGAGACAGGGACACTACTACTGCATCACAGCCACTGCATCTGCCTTCCTTTTCCCCAGTTTCTTAACTTCTGTCTAAGTCCACAGTGAGGTTTAATCAATCAAGTACAGTGGGCCTCGATAGTAAGCGGTGTCAGATTCACAAAGACAGCACATGTGAACACTACACCGCTCCCTCTGATTCTTTAGCCAAGTATCATAAACCTTTTGCCCTATTTTTCTTGTCTGATGATTTTCCGTAGAGAAGACGTGTCATTGGATCATACACAATGTAGGAGCAAATTACTGCAGATGCTGGAAACTGAACTGAAAACAAAAAAAAAGCTGAAGATCTTCATCAAGAGTCATCCAGACTTGAAACATTAGCTTGCTTTCTCTCCATGGATGCTGACCGACTCGCTGTGATCTCCAGCATTTTTTGTTGTCATTGGATCATGATCACTTGTGGCTAATTATAATCCAGGGATCCTGTTAGATCTCTGCTAGTGTGGCTGCCATCACCTAAAAAGAGACTGGTGGCACCATGATAGTGTCCCTATCTCCAAATTCAAATCTGACCTGCCCCAGATGTGTGTCGTAACAAGCTGATTACACAAACCAAAAAAGAGAATAGACCCCTGGACTGGGATTTGCTTATGGAACCTGTCTGTGTGACTTCTTTGGAGTTTAAGTGCACATATTCTTTTGGAAATGTACCTAAAATTCAGGATGTTGCAAACAGTATCTCCCCAGATTTTCGGAGATTCTCTCAGACTAACAGCATTTTTATGGAATAGGAGTGAAATTGTGTGATTTGCTCATTGAAGAGTATTCGAAGAATGTGGAGCCTTTTTATTCATCATGTGCCTTCTAATTATCACAGCTGATTTATTATTACAGGATTAGACTGGGTTCACATCACAATTTTAGCAATGCTATGAAGCAATTTTTCCAACACACTGATAATAAAGCACTTTTTTTCTGTAAAGATGCTGGTCAAGCTGTGACTCAAGGTGTTAAAGTGAAACCTCCACCCTATAGCCCAGAAACAGCTGCTTCGCCCTTTACAACAACAACTTGCATTCATACAGTGCCTCTACCCCCAAAACGCTGGACAAGCGTAACTATCGTACTTGCCTGGATGAGTGCCAACAACACTCAAGAAGTTTAATACCATCCAGGACAAAGTGGCCCCCGCTTGATTGGCACTACGTCCACTAGCATTCACTCCTTCCACCACTGATGCTCAGTAGCAGCAGTGTGTTCTATCTACAAGATACATTGCAGAAATTCACCAAAGATCCTCAGACAGCACCTTCCAAACCCATGACCATTTCCATCTAGAAGGACAAGGACATCTGATATATGGGAACACCACCACCTCCAAGTTCCCCTCCAAGTCATTCACCATCCTGACTTGGAAATATATCGCTTTCCTTCACTGTCGCTGGGTCAAAATCCTGGAGTTCCCTCCCTAATAGCATTGTGGGTCAACCTACAGCAGGAGGACTGCAGCGGTTCAAGAAGGCAGCTCACCACCTCCTCAAGGGCAACTAGGGATGGGCAAGAAATGCTGGCCAGCCAGCGTCGCCCACATCCCACAAATGAATAGAAAACAAAACATACAAAACAAGCCACATAAAGGATATGGAAGGGCACTTCGTCAAGGATCTATATATTAAGGAGCATCTTAAAAGAGGCAGAGAAGCCGAGAAGGATTTCTGGAGCTTAGGGTCTTGACACTTGAAGGCCATGACCACCAATGGTGGAGCAATAAATATTTCTTTAACTGAAATGGTGGGGCATGGTGGAACTGCATCATGCTGAGTGAACAGTCTTGTTGTTAAACACACCTTCAGTTGTGGCTTCTGTCCTTGCAGTACCGTGTGAGCCCTAGTGGGGGTAGTAATGGGCACCACGGTGGCAGCGCCACCTGTAAGAACAACATGCCATTGCACTTTGGACCGGCAAGCAACTGGCAACAGACATAAACATATAAAATAAAAATAGATTTTGAGTTTGAGTTTGATTTATTGTGTCACATGTATTGGGATACAGTGAAAAGTGTTGTTTTGTGTGCTATACAGGGAGATCATACCGTACAAAGTGCATCAGGGTAGCAAAACAGAGTGCAGAGTACAGTGTTATAGACATAGAGAAGGTGCAGATGGAGAGATCAGAATTAACATTTGAGAGGTCTGTTCAAAAGTCTGATAACAGCAGTGAGGAAACTGTTCTTGAATCTACTCACATGTGTATTCAAACTTTTACATCTTCTGCCCAACAGAAGGGGGTGGAAGAGAGTATAATCAGGGTGGGAGGGGTCTTTGAATATGTTGGCTGCCTTCCCGAGGCAGCAGGAAGTGTAGATGGAGTCACTGGATGGAAGGCTGGTTTGCACTATGGGCTGAGCTGTGTTCACTATTGTCTGTAGTTTTTTTGCAGTCTTGGGCAGAGCAGTTGCCATACCACCCTGCAATGCATCTAGACAGGATGCTTTTTATGGTGCATCTATAAAAATTGGTAAGAGTCCTTGCGGACATGCTGAATTTCCTCAGCCCCCTGAGGAAGTAGAGACGTTGTTGTGCTTCCTTGATAATTGCGCCGATGTCGGTGGACCAGGACAGAAACATGATGCTCTCGACCATCTCCACCTCAGCCCCATTGATGCAGACAGGGGCGTGCCCTCCACTCTGCTTCCTGAAGTCAACAACCAGCTCCCTCATTTTAGAACATAGAACATAGAACATAGAACAGTACAGTACAGGCCCTTCAGCCCACGATGTTGTGCCAAACTTTTACCCTAATCCTAAGGTCTATCTAACCTCCACTCCTACCTTATACTATCATCCATGTGCCTATCTAACAGCCGCTTAAATGCCCCTAATGAGGCCGACTCCACTACCCTCTCCAGCAATGTATTCCACGCCCCGACCACTCTCTGAGTAAAGAACCTACCTCTGACGTCTCCCCTATATCTACCTCCATTCACTTTAAAACTATGCCCCCACGTAATAGCTATCTCCACCCTAGGAAAAAGTCTTTGGCTGTCTACTCTATCTATACGTCTGATCATTTTGTACACCTCTATCAAGTCACCACTCATCCTTCGTCATTCTAAAGAGAAAAGCCCTAGATCTCTCAACCTTTCCTCGTAAGACCTTCCCTCCATTCCAGGCAACATCCTGGTAGATCTCCTCTGCACCTTTTCCAACAGCTCCACATCTTTCCTGTAATGAGGCGACCAGAACTGGACACAATATTCCAGATGTCGCCGAACCAGGCGTTTGTATAGCTGGAGCATAACTTCACGGCTCTTGAACTCAATCCCTCTATTAATGAAAGCTAACACACCGTACGCCTTCTTAACAACTCTATCCACCTGGGTGGCAGTTCTCAGGGAACTGTGAACATGAACCCCAAGATCCCTCTGCTCCTCCACACTGCCAAGAATCTTTCCGTTAACCCTGTATTCTGCTTTCAAGTTTGTCCTTCCAAAATGAATCACCTCACACTTTTCAGGGTTAATCTCCGTCTGCCACTTCTCAGCCCAGCTCTGCATCCTATCAATGTCCCTTTGTAACCTAGACCAGCCCTCCACACTATCCACAACTCGACCCACCTTCATATCATCCGCAAACTTGTTAATCCACCCTTCCACTCCTTCATCCAAATCATTTACATAAATCACAAATAGAAGAGGACCCAGGACAGATCCTTGTGGTACACCACTCGTAACTGAGCACAATGTTGAATATTTTCTGTCCACTACCACCCTTTGTCTTCTAAGGGTCAGCCAATTCTGAATACAATCTGCCACATTTCCCCCTATCCCATGCCTCCTTACCTTCTGCATGAGCCTACCATGGGGAACCTTATCAAACACCTTACTTAAATCTATGTATACCACATCCACTGCTCTACCTTCAACCACGTGTTTGGTCACCTCTTCAAAGAATTCAATAAGATTTGTGAGGCATAATCTACGCCTCACAAATCCATGCTGACTATCACGAATCGAACTGTGCCTCTCAGAGCCCTTTCCAGTAATTTGCCCACCACTGATATAAGACTAACTGGCCTGTAATTTCCAGGGATATCCCTATTCCCTTTTTTGAACAAGGGAATGACGTTTGCCTCTATCCAATCTTCCGGCACTATACCCGTGGACAATGAGGACGAAAAGATCATCGCCAAAGGCCCTGCGATCTCTTCCCTCGCTTCCCATAGAATCCTTGAATAAATCCCATCAGGCCCGGGGGACTTATCTGTCTTCAACTTCCTCAAAATTCCTTGAACATCTTCCTTACTAACATCAACCTCCTCTAGCCGACCAGCCTGTTTCACACTGTCCTCCTCTACAACTAGGTCCCTCTGAGTTGTGAATACCGAAGAAAAGTATTCACTAAGGACCTCTCCTATCTCTTTAGGCTCTGTGCACAAATTCCCTTTACAATCCTTGATCGGCCCTTTCTCTGGTCATTCTCTTATTCCTCACGTACGTGTAAAAAGGCTTGGTGTTTTCCTTGATCCTATCTGCCAAGGTTTTCTCATACCCCCTTATAGCTCTCCTAAGCTCTATCTTCAGCTTCTTCCTGGATAACTTGCATCCCTCCAGAGACTTTTCCGTTCCTTGTTTCCTAAACCTTACATAAGCATCCTTCTTTCTCTTAACCAGACATTCGACCTCTCTTGAGAACCAAGGCTCCCTCACTCGACCGCATGTTCCCTGCCTGCTAGGGACAAACATATCGAGTACACGCAGTATGCATTCCTTAAACAATCTCCACATTTCAATAATGCTCTTCCCTGACAGCATCTGTTCCCACTTTATGTACCCAGTTCTTGCCTAACAGAATTGTAATTACCCTTCCCCCAATTATAAACCTTACCCTGCTGTATGTACCTATCCTTTTCCATGACTATTGTAAAAGTAACAGAGTTATGATCGCTACCGCCAAAATGCTCTCCTACCAACAGGTCTAACACTTGGCCCGGTTCATTGCCAAGCACCAAATCCAAAGTGGCCTTTCCTCGTGTTGGTCTATCTACATACTGTGTCAGGAATCCTTCCCGAATGCACTGGACAAAATCCGCTCCATCTAAACTGTACAACTAAAATGTTTCCAATCAATATTTGGAAAGTTGAAGTCACCCATGACTACAACCCTGTGACTTCTGCACCTTTCCAGTACCTGCCTCCCAATCCGCTCCTCTACTTCTCTGCAACTATTAGGGGGTCTGTAAAAAAACCCCAACAAAGTGACTCCCCCTTTCTTGTTCTGGACATCAACCCAAACTGACTCTGTAGACATATCATTCTCGAACTGCCTTTCAGTAGTTGCTATACTAGCCCTGCCTAGCAATGCCACTTCCTTGCCTCTTTTTCCACTCTCCTTATTTCTTTTAAAGCATCTAAATCCTGGAACTTCCAACAACCATTCCTCTCCCTGAGTTACCCAAGTTTCTGTAATGGCCACAACATCGTAGTTCCAAGTACCCACCCATGCTCTAAGTTCATCTGCCTTATTTCTGATACTTCTAGCATTGAAGTATACACACCTCAAACCATCTCTATGTCCACAATTACGCTCCATCGACCGCATTTCTTTATAAACAACCTCATTTTGCTGATGTTGGTGGAGAAATTGTTGTCTTTACACCATGCCGCTAAGCACTCAATCTATTTCCTGCATTCCTGTTTTGTTTTTATTTTGAGATCCAACCTACAACAGTGGTGTCATAGTAAACCTGGAATTGGGATGGAATTTGGCCGCAAAGTTGTGAGTTTATAAGTAGCAGGGGGCTGAATACGCAGCTTGAGAGGCAACAGTGTTGTGGATTAATGTGGAGGAGGTGTTGTCACCTATTCGTACTGATTGCAGTCTCTGGGTCAGGAATTTGAGGATCCAGTTACGGAGGGGGCAGCTGAGACCTTGGAGTTTAGAGATGATTTTGTTTGGAACTATGGTGTTGAATGTGGAACTGTGGTCAATAAATAGGAGCCTGACGTAGGTATCTTTGTTATCCTTGTTACCCAGATGTTCCAGGGCTAAGGGTAGGGCCAGGGAGCTAGCTTGGACCTGTTGCACCAGTAGGCTAATTGCAAAGGATCGAGACAATTTGGTAAGCTGGACTTGATGTGAGCCATGACTAACCTCTCGAAGTACTTCATAATTATGGAGATCAGAGCCACCAGGTGGTAGTCGTTGAGGCACACTGTGTGATTTTTCTTTGGCGTCAGGATGATGATGGTCTTCTTGAAGCAGGTGGTGACTTCAGATCATAGTAAGAAGGGGTTAAAGATGTCTGCGAATATCCTGCCAGTCGTTCCGCACAGGATCTGAGTGCATGGTCCCTCAGTGCAGTCTTGATGGACTGAATTGCCTCTATCTGCACTGTAGGAATTACACAAATGCCGTGAGATGCTCAGAGAATGGGGGTTGACTGTATGACTCTATAAGGTGGAGTTTATAGAGCTGAAACAGGACTTCTGGTCCCAATCCCAACTATGAGGGCTAGAAAGAAAGGTCAGTGTTCCATCAGATTATTTCCTGTTCAGTCTTAATGATTCATATATACTTGGGCATCCAAAGTTTCTTTGGCAGTCTATTACAAAAGTAAAATGCTGCAGATGCCGGGAATCTGAAGTAAAACGGAAAATGCAGTGAATGCAGCTACTCAAACAGTGTTTGTGTTGGGAGGGGGTTAAGGTTCATGTTTCAGGTCAATTACATTTTGCCAGGGTTCCACAGTTTCCAGCTTGACACTATTTACGGTGATTAATTTAGGTAGAATCTTGAACCTAGAGCTAACCAGCATATTTCTGGACCCATCTTTCTTAACTGTATCCAAAGTGGAAACTGGATCAAAATGAATGTGCCTTCCTCTTTAAGAAGCAAGCTTCGTGGGCCTCCGTCACTCTTCGGACATTCACCCCTTCTCCCACTCCCCAACTTCGGTGATCTCCGGCAACTCTCGGCTACTCCCGGAATTCTCCGTCCGGCCCTCGTCCCTCCCCGCTTCCGCTCGGCTCCCCTCTCCCCGCAAGAGACGGACGGCCGCTGCGCAATGCACACTGGGAAATGTAGTCCCCTCTCCTCCAGGGACGCCTTTCGCTTTCATGGCAGCACCTGCAGCAACCGAACTACAATTCCCGGCGCACATGGCGGTATCCGCGCCTGCGCGCTGTGCTAAGGGAGCCGACAGTGCATTGTGGTAAGATGGTGGCTGCTCCATTGTTCGGCTGTATGTTTGCAAGAGAAAAAAATCCCCTGAAAGCGACCGGCAGAGGGAATAAGGCCTGAAATTCATATGTAAGGTAATACTAAACCCATCTGTACGAAAATTAATGAGGGTATCTTGTGTTTTTAGGGATTTGGGGTTTTGACTGTAATGGATTGGGAATATGTTAATCTCAGTGGGGGCAGAGCACCAGGACATCTTTAGGGATCTGCAGGTAGGAAGCCAGATTATTGCAGTTCACAGCAACTGAGGATATTTCAAAACCTAAGAGCTGCTGATGGTGATCCCTGCCTTTCCATTGCTCCCCCCTCCACCTTCTTTGATTTGCAAGCCACAATCATCAGACCAAACTTTGGAAAAATCTACATCAAAACCCCCTCAGCCCTTCCACCCTGTCCCTCTTTTGGAAAATGTAAGGTTCTACTCCCACCCCAGTGCACAGTTTGTGATACCATTACACTGTTGCACCACGAACAGAGGCAACTTCAGTGTGCCCCCCCTCCCACCCCACTTCTTCCCTGTGTTGTGCCCGTCTCCATCGCACTCTCTGAAAAAGTGTCAACTTGATCTTTTTTTGAGCAAAATTTAACACTGTTGTATGTGCTTGTTCTTAACAACAATCATTGCTGTCTCTCTTTAGGAAAATAGTGAATCATACGATGTTCGAGGTTGTCAATGTGTCAAAAATATTAATGAATATTTGAGGATGTCTTGTGTACATTTACAGAAACTTTATCCCTCAGTTGAATTGAACCTGGAAGGGGGAATCATTAACTCTAGTGACTGATCTAATGTATGATTTTGATTTTGTTTTCCTGCTCATGATTCTTTTTTTATGCACTTTCTGCTGGATGTCTGACACTGGAGAAATTGAACTTTTTTCAATCTCAGGAATCCAGAGTTTCATTAAGCATGCACAGCGCAGTTAGATACAGAATAAATCTACTTTGACTCAGCCCAAAACGCAGCATTCGGCATGTAAGATTATGCTGTGGTGTCATTATCTTCCAGGACTGGATTAAGACTAATACTGTTTAGGATTTTTACAGTATTGGATTGTGCTAGATTGGAACTCAAGAAGAGTCTAGTGGACTGGAATTTCAGGAGTATTGTCTTTACATATTTAAGCAATTTAGAGAAAGAAGGAGGCAACTAAGCATCCATGGAGAGAAAGCATGTTTTGAGTCTAGATGACTCCTCATCAGAGCTTTGATGAAGACTCATCTAGGGACTCAAAATGTTAGCTTGCTTTCTCTCCATGGAGGCTGTCTGACCCACTGTGATCTCAGCACTTTTTGTTTTCGGTACACACAGCATCTGCAGTGATTTGTCCCAAGGAGGCAACTAACCTAAGGTTCTTTGCCTCTCCAGATTTGGAGTCATCCAGACATCATTAGGATGATTTTCAACTTTTGGGCATAGCAATTGGATAATATCCCCATTACCTCTGTTCTTGCTTTGTTGCCTACTTCGTGTCTACAGGTCAACTTGCATTCTTATTCACTGACAAATTACTCTGTTTCTTAAGCAGATCGACACCACCATCCGTACTGTCTCTGTTAGGTATCTACATGCATTCAAGTGTGAAGCTGCACCATAAATATCAGAAGGCTAGCTCAATCCTGTCCAAGTTTTTCAATCAATTTTAGAATAGTCATTGGAGACTGTGCATGTAACATATTATTGCAACGGTTGTGGCATCAAGGTTGCAACGCCGAAGTTGTGAGTTGTTATCCTACCCTGACAAGTTGTGAATTTGTGGGCCAGCAAAGAGAAAGAAACATGTATGAAGGCCAATGGATTGTCTTAAAACACCCATGATATTCTCCAATAGTCAAGATAGTAATGGGGCCCAATAAGTAAATAGAGAAAACTATTTTTAGTTATTGGCAAGTCTAGCATTATGTGATAAGGGTCTTAGGCTTTCAGGAGTGATATATGGTGGAAATTGGAAACTATTCCATCAAAGGCAAAAGATCAATGATAAAATTTAAATGTGAAATATGTGGACTCTGGTATTACAGAGGAAGAAGGGCCAAGGACATGTATATGGTTATAAGTCACTGATTGATTGTGATCTCATTGAATGGCGGAGAAACTTTGAGGTGCTGAATGACCTGCTCCCCTTCCTATGTTCAGGGACAGGAACTTATCATAACTACTTTGTCAGGTCAACATGTCTGCAGTGTCCTGCATTTCTGAGGCACTCTGACACAACTGAAGATGACCAAACTCATTGAACAGTGGCAAATGCTCTGTGACCATGGAACCTAAGGAAACATTTCCCTCACTAATTAGGAATGTCTGGTTTCACTGGGACTTTGGGAGAAAAAAAAACATTTCCTGAGTTCCAGAAGTGCAAATTTTCCTTTTCTACAGAAGTGAGTCAATTTTTCCCATTAATTTTCATCTATCTCGAGGTACCTAATGTAGATTTGGGATTTGTCCACTGTTTAGATCAAACATTCAATCCCACCAAATTTAAAGAGGGACCAGCCAGTAATTCAGATATAAGCCTAAATAGGACTTGGTTACTTCAGAACTGAGACGTTGATTGTAGCATTTTATCCCTGGGTTGGGGGTGAAAGCTATATCCTTCTTACCTTGGCTCATTTGACCTCTTAGAAATAAAAAACTTGGACTAGATGATCATTGGCAGCATGGCACTTTTTAAGTTTAACTCCCAACTGCGCTTGGGAGAGGGTAGGAGAAAATTGACCTGTTTCTGAGGTGCTGTTGGTCAGAAGTTGATCTGGTAGTCTCATAACCCACTTGCTTTCTCACTGGTCATTACAGAGATTGGGATTTGAAATTTATACTTACTACTTTCCCAGGACCTCAGAACCCTGGAGCCCTTCTACCTCTGTCAGTATTCCCTTCTGCCTAAAATTGTCAGGTTTCAATTCCTGATTCACCCCGTCTCTTGTCCCATTCCACCCAATCTTGCCAGCCCTTTGGAGGGGGTCTCAGATTGATCTTTAATGTCACTACTTTGGCTTACCCCTCCCTCAGCAACCGCAGCAAATGTTGGGAAGTGTGGGGAGATCAACAAAAATCATAACATTGAGCCTGTGGAAGATCTTTCCTATCCATTGCTGGTTCTTTTTCAAGTTGACTGGATTTGCTTAAAATCCTTTCCCATAAACATCTAAATTATTTTGTTTTCAGTGTACTTATCTTGCCATCTTATTTACTGTTGCTATCCTTCTCTCTCTTAGATCTACTAGATATGATATCAGGTGTACTTGGAAGGAATTGGGTTAGTGCAGGTGCAATGGTGCTGTTTAGTAACCAGGAGGTGCTGAGGAATAACTGATCCACTTTGCAAATTACTCGAGCATCGTGACAGGAGTGTATGTATGCCACCAGAGAACTTGCACTGCAGTTGAAAGCGTCCTTTTCATTCTTGACTGTCCTATTTGGGCACTTTTAATGGCTGGTGACTCTTGGACATTTATTTCCAGCATCCATTCTTCACCCAAGAGCCCAGACCCAAGACTGTTGATTGACCATTCAACCACGAGGATGTAACATGGGATTCTCATCAGCCTGCCTCTGATAACCCTTCCAGACAATAATCAGTGTTATTACGTAGGGGGAAGAAGTTTGTCTGATTCTGCCTCTTCTGTGCCCTCCCCAGTTTAGACCAACTCTTTCTGTACTTCAAGCCAAGTTTGCTGTGTTTGATCTGTAATAATTACTAATGATCACAAATGAACGGGGTCTGGAGGCTGGGATAACCCACTGTAGCTGGGACATTTGGTGAGATGAACAAATGAAATAGGAGCAGAAGTAGACCATTTGACCCTTCAGGCTTGTTCCACCATTCAATAAGACCAGGGCTAATCTGTTTGTGTTTTGAATTCTACATTTCTTTGTACACCCCCAATAACTTTGATTCTCTTTGCTAACAAAAATGTAGCTAGCTTTGCTTTAAAAAATATTTAATACTTTGCCTCTACCACGTTCTGAGGCAGAAAATTCCAATGTCACAAGGCCATGACACACAAAAAATTCTCTTCAGCTGTTCCTGAAAGGGGGACCCCTAACTTTACAGCAGTGTTACCCACCTCTGGACTGACCCACAAGAGGAAACATCCTTTCCATGTCGACTTTGTCAAGACCATTCAGGATCTTATACACTTCAGTCAAGTCACCCTTCTAAACCCCAGTGGGATTAAGCCCAGTCTGTCCAATCTATATTCATAATCCAACCCACTCATCCCAGGTATCAGTCTGCTAGAATTCCTCTTAATTGCCTCCAATGCATTTAGCTAAATCCTTTGTTGGTGAAGTGTTGCCTGTTTGCCTTCAGTTACATTCACTGTTGATGGGATTGGAAAGCGTGGCTTTGGCATCAAGAGATCATAAACTGTTCTGTTGGGTCAGGCAAGAGCATCACTATACCATGCCAAAGAGGGGCCCAGTGCCCCCCTCTGCCAGTTCCCAATATGAGCTATACCAGACACTGTCTAACTTCAAGGGGCAATCAAAGGCAAATGATTTTGCAGGGACCTTCATCTGCCAGTTGGAGTTGGTAAGTGCCTTGGAGATGTTCCTCATTGGAAGCACTTGCCCCACCCACCATCACCAGCTAGAGTGCCTTAGGTTGTCTGAACGCTGCGAAAGGTGTAAGGGAATATGCACAACAAGCATGATGGATTTTTACTGAACAATAGGAGCCTGAGCTTTTTAATTAAACTCTCAGGATCTTGCCAATCTTTTCCACTCCAAGCGTCACACCATCCTGACTTGGACATTATTGCTGTTCTTTCACTGCTATGTGAAAATCCTGGAACTCCCTTCCTATCAGCACTGAGGATGTACCTACATCCCATGGACTGCAGTGGTTTTAGAACGCAGCTCATTACCATGCTTTCAAGGGCAACTAGAGGTCGGCAATAAATATTGGCCTTACCAGCAACACCCACATTCCATGAATGTTGTAGAACAGAGAGATCTAGGGATTTAGGCACATAATTCTTTGAAGTTTGCATCGTGTATAGACAGGGTGGTTAAGAAGACGTTTAGCACGCTTACCTTCATTGCTCAGACCTTTGTGTATAGGAGTTAGGA